CCCCAAAACCCCAAAACCCCAAAACCCCAAAACCCCAAAACCCCTCTATGACTATAAGCATGGAAATCTAATATTTGATAACTTTTTAATAAAAATGAAAGAAAATTCGATTACCCAAAAAGTGCATATTTCAGCCGTAAATCTTCATTAACTTCATTTAAAACTTTGCCAAGATTAGGGGTACTGGATAGCCTCTTTTTGCTTTGCCTCACTGACTTTTATATAGGTGCCATATAAGCAAAGGATCTTCAATATTTCAATGAAAAAGTCAAAGCCAGTAAGAAGGAGGGAAAAGAATTAGTTAATATTCTCAAATAAACCATCTTTTTGTTTTAAAAAATTCTAAATTGTTCACTTGGATGTGCTTACAGACAGCGAAGGTTAGGGTTTTGGATTTGTTTGAATTCCTAAACACGAGATTTTCACCCTGCGCTAGATCTGACTAACTAAGGTCAACTGTAGAGATACAGGCAAGGTGTACAAAAATCCTGAAATAAACCTATAACTCAAGAACCCATGTTGATCAATTTTTATAAGTCAATCAAGAAGCCGTGAATTGTGAAGAAAAAGCTCATTGAGAAAACAAAGAAGAAACTTAAGCACAAGACACATGAAATGGGGAGCTCTGGAGGAGATCATATTCAGGTTTGAATAACTTACTAACTATTTAGGTAATTAAAAAGAACACCCAGGTAAAACTCTTTCTGAATGGCCCGAGGTCTCCCTTCGTAAGGCCTCGATGGGATAATAAAGATCTCTTCTCTCCATGTATCCTGAGTAATGATGATAGAGTGTTGCTCTCTAGTCCTGGCAGCACAGATAATAACTCCAAAGGGTCTAACCTGAGTCCATTTTCAGACCAAAGCATGCACCAGCCACAACTTTTAGTCGAGGATCTGCCAAGTTTTGCTAATAATTCCATCTTGGATGATCCCAACAAATTATTTGGGTTAAGCAAGAACCTCACAGTCGGAAATAAAATTAAACGAGTCAGAAAGAGAAGGCTCAGGCGAGAGTCTAATTTCCACACCCGAAGCACAAATAAGAAGAAGTATAGAAAGAAAGAGCTCATTGACGAAGTAGGCTTCCTCACAAATCTCGCATCCATATCAAAATACTCAAAGGTATAAATTTCAGGTATTATTTTTAGAAATAACCAAATTGATAAACATATGTTGAGGACTATGGCAGGTAAGCCACAGTTATCCCCTCTGAAAGTTCTTTGTCATGGTCTTGACTCTAGTTGTCAAGTGGGTCAAGATATTTTTAATAAAAATTACACATAATTGCTCATATTTGTACTGATCTAGACAAAGAAAACTCAGACACTGATAATGAAGAAGCTCATAATAATCCAGTCTTTAGAAGAGAAAATATCGCGTACAGTTTTAATAAATTTACTAATGATTTGTTGGAGAAAATTCCTGCTGGGAGTTCAAAACTAAACACAGACACCATCCCCAGACGGCTCAATTTTAATAACAGGAGTTGTATAAATGAAAGCTATGAGACTGACGAGTCTTCAGACCTATGTCGAGAAGAAGGTATGTCTCAACTAATTATGCATAGCTATTCCTCTGAATGACAGAAAACTCAAACTCCCCCAAAAGAATGTCAGCTGCAATTTTTTCGTGCACTCTCGAGGCAAAAAGGGGTTTAAGAAGCGGAAAATTGGGATTTCCATTCCAAGACTTAAATTTTTGAGGAAGTAACTTAACAAAAAACTTGTCAATGTTAACTCATTAAACTAGTGCTGAAATAGCTTCTGCTTCATATTCTGGCTGCTATAAGGCAGAGAGGCTATAGCTCAGCATACATTGGGGTCTCTAAACCATATTTAGGCTCTCTCAACTAAAGTGTGTTATTTTGAAATTTTTCAATTTAATTTGAGTGGAAAGGGGTTTTGGGGTTTTGGGGTTTTGGGGTTTTGGGG